TTCAGCCACTTAACACCGACTTATGAACCATTCAAGCACAAAAAGGCACCAAAATTTACTAATGTTGTGTCTACCCATAACAGACAACTGAGCAAAAAGTCCGTTTTAAATGAACGGCTTGTCATAAAAAGACATATTTTGTTTCCATTTCTTGAGCTGCATCTACGAAAATGCCAGAGATACCACAGTTTGACAGGCATAAAATAGGATTAGCTGAAAACTTCAAGAAAATTTAAGAAACTGGACAAGTGGAGGACAAAAGAAGAAGCTGTAGGAATAAAAAAGTGTTTGCACGTTTCAATAAATCCTTGCACAAATTTCCATTTTTCAAAATAAAGGAAACGAGGGGTGACTCAAGGCTTTTGCACAGTAATATATAAAATGGCTTTAAGCTGGACAAAATATTGTAAAAGACAAAGAAAACTGGGTCTCGAGCAGCAGTGTTTTCTGTCACGTGTACTTCTGGTTATTTGTCCCACCCTTCCTTCCTGCTCAGCTCCAACAACAATGTCGGCTATAAAGTTAAAATCTGTCAGCGAAATATAAATAACAGCCTTCGTGCTTATCACAGCTGGGTGAGAAGTCCACAGCAAACAAACTACTGCAACAATAAAACTGTTCTCTTTGTGAATAATGTAGCTTAAAAGTGAATTATTCCCAAACTTCAACCACACAGTGTGTAACACGAAAAAAGACGTGTGCTATACAGAGAAAGAGCATTCTGCGACGATGGTGATCTCACCTTGTTGTCGAGTGAGGCAATTTCCTGCTGGTTGGCGGTGGAGAGGAGGAAGCTGCTCATCTGGCTCTTCAGGGGGTCGTCCACCTCCACGTCAATGTCGTAGCAGGCCGTCTTCTTCTGGTCGTTGGGATCCACGCTGAAAGAAAATGTGAAGCGAGACACATCTTTAAAGAGGAAGCTTTCAATAAATCCACTTGGGAGTCCTCAAGTCCGTTCAACACATTTCCCAAATTAAGAGTTTATTTTCTTATTTGTTTTCTTTTGTGTAGAAAACAATAACCTCCCATAATAAGCTTGCATCACACATCCCATTACTCTGGTGTGAACTCACCCAGTAATGGTTCAACATTGTTTGGCCTTAAAATGTTCTTTTTTAAAAAATGGTAAATGATGCCGTGCTTAATTTATTTATAATGAAAAAGCCAGTAGAAGGTTTCAAGGTAAACACATTTTCATGCTATAAAGCTATTTGAATTTAATATCTCTTTAAATAGCACCTTTCCTGTACTAATGCAAGGGTAAATATGCAAAGCCTGGTGTAAAGACGCTTCTCAGTTAGTACTTGGTTGCGTTATTTATCTTCTGTGATGCATATTTCATACAGGAGAGTCCTCTGTGTGCATTAAAGGGGGAAAATCTACCTGATAACGTGGTTGATGACGATGGGGTCAGGGGGCAGGAGGAGGTTGGTGAGGCGCTGAGGGATCTCAGAGAACTTCAGCCGAGGGCAGTCAAAAATCTAAAAAATAAAAATAACTTTCCTTTTAAAGTGAACCGGTTATGCTTCTTCCTTATTTTCTGACATACACGAGACAGACCGAAGCGTTGGGCCACCTACACATTACACATACAGGAGCTTTTATGACATCTCGCTCTAAATTGGTGCTCCCTTTGCAGCTATATCTGTCAATACATGTGTCCACTCTTTTAGGAAGCCGGTGGAAATTTCATCCAGAAGAGCATTTGTGAGGTCAGACAGTGGTGTTGGACCAGAGAGCCTGGCTTCCAGACTCCATTCTAATTCATCTCAAAGGTGGGCTCTGTGCAGGCCAGTCAAGTATTTCTACACCAAACTCATCCAACTGTACCTTTACGGACTTTGTGCACCGTCTCGGTGATGCTGGAACAGACAGGGACCTTTCTCAAACTGTTCCCACAAAGCTGGAAGCACAGAGTTGTCCAAAATATGTAGGTGAGGTGAAACAATAAGATTTCCCTTCACCGAAGCTTAATTGATTTATTAGTCGGCTACTGGGTCTCCAGCTTTCTGTGTCCATAATAGAGTTAATCTAGACCCAGGAGGTGTGGAACCTTGTTTTGAAAATTTTATGCCAACCAGAAGGGAAAATTCGGGGTTACTATTACAAACCTATAAGAAAATAACATGAAATTGAGGAAGTAACTTGAAATGTTGAGTTACTAAGTTGAAATCAGGCTGCCAGAAAAAAACAGTAGAACATACATGAAGAGGGCAGGAAAACCTATGCCATGAAGCGCTTGGCACACAGTTTTTGTGCTGATGTTAATGCTGTGGTTCCTAAATTTTTCCACTTTGCAACAAAGCTACTACTTTTTTCTACTCTTGGTTCTGTATGATGTCATAGCTCGTGATACTCCACCGACAGACATAGAGCTAACATGGAACAGACTAAATATGAGCCTTATTAAAAGAACCAACAAATCCAAAGTCTAGAGTTAGTCCAGAACAACTGGGAAAAAAGCTCAAACCATAAAACAAAGCGCAGGAATGCATGGTTGGAAAACACATGATCCCACAAAAGGGAAAAAAAGGAAAAACAAAAGTAAAACAGGAACAGGAAGTAAAAGCAACATAAGACACATGAGGAAAACTAGCTTTAAAAGCAAACCAGAATAACCCTACTTATGACAGAGACATGAAAGCTAACACTAAACATAATGTCAGAGAAAGGGGAACACATGGAAAAGCTACTTTCGTAATATCTAAGAATAAAAATATGGAGCGCTCATTTGTTCCTCTGCCAAAGCGAGAGCTGAGGTGGAGGTATGTGATCACTGCTGTTTGACTACCCAGAAGCTACTGAGACAGATTTTATGAAACTATGAGAGCACAGGCAGAGGAGGAAGCAGTTCAATTATGGTGCTGATCCAAATCCCTTTCCTTAAAACTGTAAGATAAGACTCCTGCTTTGGTGGAGTTTATATACATACTGCTCATCTTGCCCTGGTGAAATCATATTTTCAGCAACAGCAGGAGTCCACACCTGTTGGAAATACTTGTCACAGTTGATGTACTCCTTGTCATGCGAGTCCTGCAGCTTGTTGGTCTTCACGTACTGCCAGAGGGCCTGGATGATGCAGGAGCGAGTCTGAGTGTGAATACCGAGCAGGCGAGCCAGGCGAGGGTCCAGCTTAAACTGGGGAGGCTGCGGAGACAACATAATCACATTACAGCACTTTCTACAGCCACCCACGTCAGAGGCTTTACATCAGCTCCATCACATCATTCACCCTTATCGTATTTCCCCGGCTTGGAAACAGATGTCAGGTTTAAATGGCGTCTTACATGGACTGTAATGTTTGTGCAGGCCGGTGTTTATCGGCAACGTGAGGCCTGCAGGTTGTCACTACAACAGCTGATTTCAAGGCACGGATTAGTCACGGCGTAGTAACGGACTATTTATGGGCATCGAAGCGAGACGGCGTGCCGCCCTCACCTGGTATTCCAGCATCAGCAGCAGAGTGCAGCGCACGCTCACGTCTCCTGGCCGCTTCACCTGGAAGCCATCCGTCTCCTGGGTGGTGGGCGTGCGGTGCCACTGAAAGAGCAAAGAGAAGGCCACAGTCTGACCAAACCAAACTCAGCTGGTTTATAAATCATTTTGTTATTTTTCTACTTCATTTGATGCTCGTTTCACAATTTTTTCAGCTATTATAACACATATTTCCCAACACAAGGTCATAACTACCAGACGACTGAAGTATTCCTCCGACTTCTACTATAGAGCCATCATGAAGTTGAAATAACAATAGCAGATTTTTGTAGGCATAAGAAATGAAAATAATGTAGTTTATACTTTTAACATGTGCAATGCCAAGGAATGATCCAGATTTCATGAAAATCGTTAAAGGGTGGCTGTGAGAAGCGGTGGAAAGAATCTCTCGTTGGCTTTGGTTTAAGAGAGGGCACGAGCTGTGCTGCAGTAAGGCTGGAGATCACCTGATGACCTTTAAATCTATTTAAATGAATTAAATGTTATGAAAATTACACATAAGCACTTTTACTGTAACCTGCACATACCGATGAATGTATCAGGGGCAACCTGGGGTTCAGTATCTTGCCCACGGATGGTTTTACTAGAGGAGCTGAGGACCGAACCACCAACCCTCAGATTAGCAGACATACTCTACCTGAGCCACAGCTCTTGTAAGCCACATCCTCAGTCATGATTTTGTGGGGTAGTGAAAACTGAAAACTGAAGAGCCATAAACTGCAGTTCCTCTAGTGACCACTTGAGGGTGTTTCCAAAAGTTTCTTGCGCCACAGAAGAAATAAACACGTTTCCATGTTTACTGTTTTGACCTCTATAGACAGTTTCCCCCTCACAACAAGGTAAAGGTGAATTTATTTTTTTTTGCAACTCATCGACGCTGATAGTGGAGTGGAGGGTTTTCTTTGGCCAGGCCACAGATTTCCCTCTTGGGGGTCCAAAAAGGCAAAGCTATGCCGTGGGTCCCACATGGGCTAGCATACACGGGCCTCCATATGAGTTTTCTATGGGTAGTGCACACTGGGTTTGCCCATAGAAAACTCATTTCGGGGCCCCCAAGGGCAAAACTGCTGTCGGCCCTGCGTGGGTGCATGCAATTGGGGCCCAAATGCAAATGTGCAGAAAACAAGGATGTTTTCAGCGTTTAGGTCATCTAACAGCACGTTTTGGGTTTTTTTTAGTTTTTTTTTTTAAAAAAACAGAAGCACTAACTTAGTAGGTTAGTAGGTTAGCTTAAATATCTGCAAACTAACTACGCACAAGACAGAAAGGGTGAATATTATCAATCTCTAGAGACATAGTAACATCTATCGCTAGCAGAAAAATTCCATAAGCACCTGGTCACATGCAACTATCCCAATATTATTCGGTCTTTAAGTCGTTTTTGCATTTCAGAAGCTCTTCAGCATCTAACCTCTGATGGTATTTACATCTCTGTTTTACTTTAACCACTCAGAAAGGGAAAAGAAAAACACTTTAACACTCAGTCTTGCGGTACCCTGGCAAGCAATCCAAAGTGATGTTTTCCTGCAACCAATGGCTGATTCAGAACACATTACGTGCTTATTGTACCTCAAGGTAGAAACAAAATTCTTTTGATGGAAAGTCATTCAAACAGAAGCACCTGGGCGCCTGGGTAAAACACCCTCTTAAAAAGAGGGACCTTGAGAAGTCATAATTTTCACTTTGAAAGTCCTGAAGTGTTTTTTTTTTAAGTCAGCACATTATGTGAGGACACAAAGTGAAGGGCAGCTAATGGTTGTTTTTAATAAGTAAGCAGTTGTTTTCTCGCATGTTTAAACAACCTTGTGTGTTGGAAATTTTAAAAACCCATCTCCTTTCTGCTGTTACAGAAAAGAAGAAGAGAGAGGGCAATCCACTCTGCCACTCTGTTTTAGTTTGAATGCACCCAACGGGAATATGAAACGCAGCAGGTCAGCTGGGGTTATTGTACCTCGAGATTTAACCAGACGTGACAAGATAAAAATTTTCACTGAACATCTCTGGACTGCACGACCAAGAGGTCGTCACTGACCCTGACTGCACGGCTGAACGGGGAAGGTTCAATGATTTCTGCTACGCATACAAAAGCCTCACACAAATCAGTGGAGCTTCCAAGACTAATGGATGACACTTCAAAAGACAGCAAAGACCTTCCTTTGTTCTGCTGTGAATGTTGTCCAAACTGGGTGAGAAGATTAAACAGCATTAGAGTTCACTTCAGAAAACTGCCTCAGCTTTGAATTAGCAGTCTTGCCAAGAGTTAGACTGATGCTTTTCTCACATTAAGCCTCTTATGAAGGTAAAAACAAGCCGATCTAATGATACGTTGTCCAGCACATGAAAAGTCGGTCAAAGATGCCAACCACAAAAAACCCAAGCCCATTTCTAATTTGGATTTCAAATTTTTGCAGTGTTTGCTATCTTTACTTCACTGTCTATAAATATAGCGTCTGATGCAATCGCTCACTTTTTACCGCAAACCCTCGTCCAGCAAGCCTCTCGGCTATGAAGAGAAAACCCCCACTTAGTGTAGCCACACATGCCTGGGGGTGTGACCTGGCCTGTCAGCCAATCAAATGTGCTGCTTTAATGATGCTGGCAACTTCTCCATCTTTAGCTCGAAGCAACAGCACTGTGTGATCATTATTAATCAACGGGTTCTTGTAGTCCTTGTGGAGTTTCATCGGAAATTTGATCTACACCCTGACTGATATATCAGCAGGCCGATATCAGGCAGGTGCCGATATATCAGTATCAGCATTTATAACATAAATTCCAAAAAGACGAGAGAAACATCCTTCAACCGTGTTTTGAGTGTTGATGTTGCATAGTTTGCCCACCAGAGTGCCCTCAGGCTCTAGTTTCATCATTTACAAATGTGCTACAAGGGAGTATTTATCTATTTGCATTGTTACTAAACCACAATAATTTAAAGAGCGTGCACATTCGGACATCTTCAACTTAAAAAGCAATAAAAAATGAATAAAGAAAAACTAATTTGTTGCATTTTATTGACTTTCCAATGCCGTCATTTTCAAAGGAGTAATTAGTGGAATCCTTTGAATGCATTTCATTGCATTTTAAGGGACAAAAACCCCTGAATTTTTCCCACATAAGGAAATTAAAATTAAGTCTTACGTGCTGCACACATGAAAAAAAAGTGATTTATTGTTACAGGCGGTTGTGAAAACAGGATCCAAAGAAGTTTGTGTTTATAATCCAAGCTTACGCTTTTTTGTCAGACAGCACGCTGAACAAATCTGTTTTTTTATCGACACACTGCGCTGCAGCTAAGAAACTCTGAGCTGTGGTTTTCAGAGGTTGTGCACTGGACTATTTCTTGACTTCCTGGTTGCCTCATAGGTACAAACTGACCATCCTTTTCTGTGTGGTTTCATTTCAGCTACTAAGCGTAAATGAGCTGGGTTCACTAACAGCTTAACTATATTACAGAAAGTCAAAAAATCATTAGGTTTTTATTAGAGGTGCTCTTTAACCTATAAAATAAAAAACCCTCCAAGCTACAAATCACTGTGTAGTGAATTCACTGTGAGTGTGAATTAGAATATTATTTTGACACAAGGAATCATGGCTATAAGAAAAGCCTGCTATCCTTTAGTTTGATTTCACTCGTATTGATCAGACACCTATCCCACATGATCATATGACCCTTTAAAGTTTTCACAGAAAGCAAATTTTGAAGTTTTCTCCAGTGAAAACAGATCAAACATCAAGGGTACCAATGCTTGATTCTGCTCCTCCATCATAGACATTAACTCTCAGTGATGTTCGTTTGACTTCGGGATCTTAAATCAGTGCAGTTTTTGCATTGAAATTATGATGTATCCCACCGTACTGATGCACAAAGTTGGTTGTAGAATGCCATGAACTCCGAGGGCCTTTAACTTGGAAAATCTCATCATAAAAAGGTAAACGTTTGCATTTCATCATTAAATTGATGTTATTGTCAGGTGGGCAACACCGATTGACCGACTGATTGATTGATTTGTAATAACTATACAGGGTTGAGTTATTACTACAAGTTTTGTAGAGACACACAACACACTGTGGTCTCTAGTGTTACCCGCCACAGTCAGGTGTTTATTTTTGGTAGCTGCCACATTTGACGTAGATTCATCATAGCAGTGCTCAACACTTTTAGTTAGCCTTTTATAACTCAAAGTGTGTGTGAATAACACATTAAATACACCTGTGCTTACTCTGCTATGACATATCAAACAGCCTCCAGCAGAAAGGATTGTATTAGGGCAGA